TAAACTGTTTCATATATGGAAGAAAAAGGATCGACTGCAGTTCTTTTGTTTGCCAGTCGCCTTTATTAAAGTAAACAAAGATAGTGGTGACACTATTCATTATGAATGAAGTGAGATCACATAGCAAGATGGGTTCATGATAAAATAGTCAGTGTTTGCTGCCAGGATTTTTTTATTTGTCAAGATGTAGCCGAAATACCTTTAAATTTGTACTATATAAGTATTTAATAGCGAGTTACAACTGTAAATGATACAGATATTTTGGTAGAGTGATGGTTGTGTGTTCATGCATTGGGTTACATTCAGGTTTTCGGATCCAAGGCATCAGGTGAGGTCGAAGTGTCTAGTTGGCTCATACAAAGGCAATCGAAATAGTTTGGATTGCCACTTATTTTCACGGTGTCTCTTCGGGTGGTTGTCTTTGATACGTAAGAAACTAGACTTACATACCAATGCAGATACAGACAGTTTTAACAATATTGGAAAAGCGGTAGTTTGGGAATATTTATCTCAAAATACTGATGTTTTTGTCGTATAATTTAAAAGTACATCCTGGACTCTGTATGTATTAATGTATACTTGAATGTACTTTTTTGGCTGATTCGATTTTAATGGATGTTAAAATTGTAAATTACAGATTTTTATCTCATAAATTATAAATATACATGCACCTTGAATCAAAATAAGATAATATTATTCACTTTTTCAAATATTTTACTTACAAACTGAATTATTTTATGATAGATTATTTTTTAATTTTTACAGTAACTGTTACGCTAGCTTACCAGAGAAGTCATTTAAACACCAGCAATATGATAAACAACATTACAGCGTCGGAATGGAATGACGAAATATCAAAAAGTCTAATACACTTTCCGTTTATCTCGTACTTGGAACATGTGGAAACACTATCGTTTTGTTGGCTTTTACACTTCAGATAAAGGATTCATCGGATGCAAGATACTTCAATCCAATTTTAGCTGCACTTGACCTGATAGCAACGGTATATAGTGGATCATACGGCATTTTTCAGTGTCTCAATCAAGCTAACTTTTCAAACAATACCCTTTGTAAGACAACACAATTCTTTATTGGATTAACAATTTTTATTCCGATTTTGATTATGCTAATTATTGCTTTTCAATGATGTGTCAAAGTCTGTATACCTCGCAAACCAGCAATGACATCTTCGTTGAAAAGAATCTTATTGTCGTTAGCAATATAATTGTTTTCTTTTACTATTGCTTTACCCGTGCCTTTTGTATAATTTTTATGGAGTAATTCCGTATCGCAAAAGTGCAATAACAGGATTTCGATGTGGAAGATTAAAAGATGGGCATGGTATAGTTAGAACTGTTTATGCTATTGCACTTGGATTATTTATACTGTTGCGATAATAACAATGCTTATCATTTTGTACTGTAGAATTGGATACGTTGTTTTCTGGGCGTTTAAAACGAGAAAACATAAGACAACAATGCCGATCGACGAAAATTTACAAACAGAAAATAGCTGTAGTTTTTCTGTGGCTGCTTATAAAGATGACGACAAACATGTTAACTCTTAATCTGAAGTTATCAAAGCAGCTTCAATTGTACCCGAAATTCAGCTTCATTTTGATGAACAACGCTGTGAAAAGTGTCAGTTTGCGTATATTTCTAAACAATCTGGGTCTGAGAAAAGAGGAAAAAATTCATCGTCGCATTACTTATAAACTAACATTCATGTTTTTCATCATAACTGTTGTATTTTTACTTAGTTTTATACCAAAAGTGATCGATATTAATGCTTATTGAAGGTATATATACACAGATTTTTGGGAAACAATATCAACCCAGGCCAGACCTGGTGTAATGTTCGTACACCACATGTTTCTTATTATTAATATTGTGAACCCTTTCATCTAGTGACGGTAGACACTTTTATGCATGGACAAGAAATTTCGTATTGAAACAATAATATTTTTGAAACGTGTATATTGCAAAACGTGTATTTGTCGTGGAATAAAATTGCGAATGGAAATGGGGAATGTGTCAAAGAGACAACAACCCGACCATTAGAGCAGACAACAGCCGAAGGCCACCAATGGGTCTTCAATGCAGCGAGAAACTCCCGCACCCGGAGGCGTCCTTCAGCTTGCCCCTAAACAAATATGTATACTAGTTCAGTAATTATGGACGTCATACTAAACTCCAAATTATACACAAGAAACTAAAATTAAAAATGATACAAGACTAACAAAGGCCAGAGGCTCCTGACTTGGGACAGGCGCAAAAATGCGGCGGGGTTAAACATGTTTTTTGAGATCTCAACCCTCCCCCTATACCTCTAGCCAATGTAGAAAACACAAACGTACAACAGTACGCACAGTAAAACTCAGTTTAAGAGAAGTCCGAGTCCGATGTCAGAATAGGAAACAAAAGAAAATAAACAAAATGACAATAATACATAAATAACAACAGACTACTAGCAGTTACTGACATGCCAGCTCCAGACCTCAATTAAACTGATTGAAAGATTATGTCTTCATCATATGAATATCAGGCACAATCCCTCCTGTTAGGGGTTTAGTATTATACCGTCATAAAATATATGAGAAGAACATAACCCGTGTCATGCCAACAACTGGTTTTAGAATAAATATGTTTAATTCCGATGCAAAGACCCTATAAGTGAATCAATATTAAAGCCAAAATATGCAATCTTTAATGACCTGACAACAGTATCGTAACTATATCCCTTCTTAATAAGTCTGTTTAAAGGTTTTGTTAGCTTTTGAGGTGAATACTGACATTTTTGTGCTTTGTAAAGAATATTACCATAAAAGATTAGATGTGAAATACTCGAACGTATAAGATGTCTGCATGTTGAGTTATATTTACGAATGATGTCCTTATACCGATGATAAAATTTAGTAAATGTTTTGACTAGTTTATGATATCGAAAACCCTGGTGTAATAATTTTTCAGTAATATATAAATTTCTCTCGCTAAAATCTAATACGGTGTTACATACACGAGCGAATCGTTCAAGTTGAGATATATAAACACCATAAGATGGTGACAAGGGAACGCCAACGTCACCATCTAAAAATGGATAATTAACGATAGGAAATGAAAATTCATCTCTTTTATCATAAATTTTTGTATTAAGACTGAATTACTGGAAATTTTTACATCCTACTTAATACATTGAATAATGTAAGTGCATGTCTTTCGGTTGCTTAGTTTCATTTACCCGTTACTATTTATGTTAATAAACTATTGAGGAATGAACATGATGAAGAAGAAAACGATCTCTCAAAAGTTTCAACTGAGTACATAACTTTATGTAATACATGTATAAAAATTGAATTATTTGGCTTATACATTAACAAATCCCTAGTTTCTGGCTGCTATCAGTTACACAATTTGTAGGTTCTCTCTTTCTTTCATATTTTTTTTTTGTTTCTTTTCTTTTGTTTGTTTAGTATGGTTTTGTTTTTTAGTTTTTGTTTTGTTTTTGTTTTTTGGGTTGGTTTTTTTGGTGGGATGATAAGTATTTTAAATCTTTTTGCTTGATTTGGGGTGGTAAACATTTGCATTTTTATTTGTTTATTTTCTGAAAAAATGCAAAAAAGGTTGTCATTCTGCAGTTTTGATTTGATATTTATTTCGGTGAATATAAAAATGGATATAGTTGATTTATCTAAAATTACATTTTATAATATCGCTATGCTGAACTCGTTATAGAAATAAGAAGACTTGGTATGATTAGATATTGCGATTGAGTCAACTATCCATCAGAGAACAAAGGACGTGGGTGTAAGCAAGTAAAGGCCTTCAATAATGAACAAAAGTCATACCAAATAGTATTAAGCTATGCATGCTATACAGGGCCTCAGCATGACAAAATTGTGAAATAATTTAAACGAGAAAACCAATGACCTGTTCTGTGCTACAAAAAGTAAAGGAAAAACAAATATGACAGACAGCAACAAAGACAATCACTAATATATATAGGCTCCTGGCTTGGGTCATTCACACAAAGAACGTGACACTGGTAAACATGTTTGCAAGAGCAACATTCCATTGTCCTTACATTGAACAGAGGCGTAACAACACAACATAAGAACAAGATATTAAAAAAATTAGTCGGGGAAACGCTTAACTCATCAGATCGACACAAAGCACACAAAGACAACTAATAGATAAATAATGTTTTCCAAGACTTAAATATCATCATTCAGATCGCATTCATCTGATTTAGAATAAAGATGTCTAAGAAAAGTATGCACTTGTATATATATTATGCCAAAACTGATATAAGTATCGACAGGGTGTATGACCATACCTTTCAACTGGAGTTCGTGTTTATTTATATTAAAAGCTGTCAGTGTATGTGGTTTTTTAGGGGAACTATATACATTGTCACACTTTAAATTTGTAGGCATCTGATATCAATAACTAGTAAATTCTCTAACTGAGTAATTATAAAAATTAGAAGATGTGGTATGATTGCCAATGACTGGACAACTTCCGTACGGCCTTCAACAATGTGCAAAACCATACCGCCGGTTTCAAACGAATTGTTATCAGTTTTTTACTGTTACTTTTTATTTTATTATTATTTTATTGTTGTTTTCACTCAAAAAAAAGGAAATATCTAATCGACCGGAACATAAAATGCCGATGACATTAATTGTAATTAACCTCTTTTGATGGATTTCCACACGTTTGACAGTTTTTCAGCTCACCATTCAATAGTTTAATTGATCATGGTTAAAGTGGTATCCCGGTATATTTCCTGGATTTGATCGACCATGTGTCAATGGTCCGACACACTGAAATTGTACACCCGAGAACTTCCAATATTCGATTCTAATGAATATTTTTGGAATATAATCATGTAACTTATCAACAATCGGCGTGTTTTTATCTCAGGATAAATACGTTATCCGGACGATCACGGACCGTACACGGTAATTGTATTAGATTTTTCTTTCTAGTCAGTTGAGTGTTTAGAAAAACGAAGCTTACAAGTAACATTTCATGTTGCCTTGAGATATGAACAAGAAATATTATTGAGAAGTGATTTTGTCTTGTCTTGTTGCTGTCCTTAAATGACAATGAATGTCATTCAACAAATATACAGCATTTCTAGACCTGTGCATCAGTTGTTAAGATATACATGCATCTCCTCTTACAGGCATTTTACAGCGTCAACAACTAAATACAGAAGAGAAAGCAAGTACATTTGTCCGTCAGATAATTTTGTATAATTTAGGAATGCTTTGTAAGCTAGTCTATGGAGTCTCACTTATCCTTATTGTGATAAAATTCCCTCTATGATACACGTTCAATACATGTGAGCCGTTGCTCATAATTGTTCAAAGAAGATGTGCTGCTTGGACCCGTTAAATTTTTTTTTGGACCCTACTAGTCCAAATATCCTACCGTAGTCTATAATCGGTCATAATGTTGGTTCGTTCGGATTTTGTTATTGTACTTATCACACGGGAAAACTCCACATTGACGTCACTACGCTAATACCAGCGTACAAAATTAGTGCAGAATACATTTTTTCTACTCTTCTAAATAAACAAACATTTCTAAAGATATGTTTTCATTGTTATTCTAAAGTATTGTACAAAAATGCCAATTTTCTAATGGCCATTTCAAACCTGACTTCCGAATGCCTAAAAACATTCCAGAACTTCAGAAATTCCCTCTTCCGGCCTCCATTGCTTTGTTTACTTTCCATTTAGCGTCATCAATCTTAATGGCAGACCAAACAGGCCAAGCAAATCGTACTTTTAAGAATTTCAAAATGGCAAGCACCTTACGTCTTACATGATTTTCCCGCGAAAAAAAAACATCCAAATTGAAAGAAAAACTTTGGGAAACAAACGATAATCATGCCATTACTTTGTTCAGGAATATAGAGTAGGTTAAAAAAAAAACAATATACATATATTTTTCATAAAAAAAAAATTGGTTCAATATAAAGTGATCGATATTCTGACCATTAGTAAATATTCATATACAATTCCATTGATATCAAACTTCATGGCTAATAATGAGGTTTCCTATTGAATAAACCCCCAATTTATTGCAAACTATTTCAAAGCAATATCATACAAACAAATAATATAATTGCCTTGTACTAAAAAATCACCTAATGACAGTCATGACAGTAGAGCAATTTGATTGGATATAACGATTCAGTGTGTCACGTGGTTTTGAAGCCATTAGAATTTGAATGTAAACAAACCGGGTCGGCAGCTGCAGTATGGAACAACATCGTACATTCAGTGACTGAGAAACAATTATGAGTAACCAAGCTTGACAATACACAGTAATTAAAAAACAAAGCTAAGTCTACAGAAAAATAAAATAAAAAATGGCCTTAAGTGCACGACTTACCACCATTGCAGGATAATTATGACATCAAGATGTCTAGTCCAAATAATTATGACGTCTTGAAAGGCTATTATATTTTTTTCTTTGACGCCTTACATCGCAGGAAGGCGTCGAAGCAAAATTTAAAATAGCCTTCCAAGACGTCATAATTATTTGGACTACAAGATGTCATAATTATTTGGACTAGGACCCTACATGACTAGAGTAGAACAGCAGAAAATCATGCTGTTGTCTTTTAGACTTTAGGCATCTAAATTGAATGCACGTCGTTTCGTAACCTGGTCGTTTCGTACCTGGTCGATTCGTAACTACGTTGTTTTGTAACTGAGACGTTTCGTACCTGGTGTACATTTGTAATTATATATGGTTATAAAGTGTTAGTTTAAATTAATTAGTTTAAATGAAAAAGTTAAAGTTATTTTTTAAAAATGATCAAATTGTTCATCTAATAATAACAATATTGTAATATTTTTAATTTAAAATTTTCTTAAATCGTTTTAATTAATGGCTAATTGGCTATCTATTTGTCATCTATTTGGCTAACCACTGCTGGACACCTGTTATTTTAACCCCTTACACTACACCACCACCAGGTCTTTTCATTTTGCTGCCTTTTAACAGTGAAAGAAAAACCGTCACTAGAATAAAGCTTATGTTTACCACGTTTGGTACCTTGGTCTAATATCTTGTATGTAATTGTGGCAGTTGCATCAATGCCCTCTATAGGGTCGTCAACCCAGCTGTCAGACAGAGACTCTTCGTTGACTGAGACCGGAATAACAAACGAGCGATTGCTGATATCAAATGTATCGTCTGCAGCATGGTCCGAGTCAGAGTTGTCCTCGGTTATGACTCTAGGTGGTGGTTGGCGTCTAACAATATAATGATCTGAATCTGAGTCACTGTCACTAAAAAGGTTTGGTCTGCCAATATGTATATCTGGCGAGCTTAACACCGTACCTGTGTCTGAGTCGTTGAAATGGGCTACAGGTGTGGCCGGTCTCTGTGAGGCAAAATCATGATCTGATTCAGAATCACTGTATGCTACAAGACTTAGTGGTCTAGGTTGTTGCTCAGTTGGTGAGGGTTGGTCTACAATAAGGCAGTTAGAACAACTCCAATCGATATCGGCGTTTGCTTTGGCCGCTTTTCTGTATGCGTCCATGGTAATGCCTGCTAGGCATGTAGGATGCTGCCATCTGGTACATACGTCACATTGGAGAGCCTCTTGACGTGGTCTGACGAAAGTCCTGCATTCAATGCAGAAGTCTGTCAGAGGGATGTTGTCTGACATTTGTAAACTCTGAATTATAGCATTTTCGTTTATTATACCGTTAATCTAAAGATATAACTACATGAATGATACAATTTGTCTGTGTTTGGATTTTATATTTTTAAAAATTTTGGAGTAGCTTGGGAAACCATACATAGAAACGATTGATTTTATCCTACCCTCTGAAGTCTAAATATTTGTGTAAACTGCTTAAAACAACATTTTTAATTTAACAATTGCGTTTACCAAGCGTATGATAGGAAGAGAAATTAATTGTTGTTTTAACATTCAAGCTATGTGATCATAACTTTTACTGCTTGCAATTACCACTTAGACAACGTAAGCCATTTAATTAATCTAAAGTTTAAGAATTTAATTAATAAAAATTAATTTACAGTTATAATGACAATCAATCTTTCTGATATATGTTTTTTAACAACACAAAAAAGCAATCAGTAGTGAAATATTTTGAATAAATTTAATTTGAATTAAATTGATAAATTACTAGGCGTGGTTAAATTAAATAGATGTAAGTGACAAGTGTTCACTTAATGGTATATTAGCAGTTTTTTTTTACTCCTTTTCATTCATCTATAAACGCCAAATATGTCACTAACAGTAAATAAGCCCAAAGTACTTGTGATCGGTCACAGTTTCATCCGAAGACTGGAAAATTGGATGTTAAGAACGCAATCCGACTTATCAAGTTCTGTCGAAACAAAGCTTCACAGGGTAGGCGGGAGAAAAGTACAGTCATTGAGACATTTTGATCTCCACATAGTGAAGAAATTTAAACCAGACTTTGTTTTCATACAGATTGGAGAGAATGACATCTGTGATAAATTATCTGCATCACACACAGCATCAGAGATTGTACAACTCGCAAAAGATGTCAAGCGCTTAGGTGTTCCTTCTGTAATTATAGGCTCCAACATCGTCAGACTAAAAACAAGAAACATGAAAGAAACAACTTATGATAGAAAAAAAAGAAGATAAATAAAGAACTAAGCAACATAAAGATGAGTGGTGTCAAGTATTGGAGACATCAAAGCACGTGGCAGAAGACTAAATACTTTGATAAAGACGGGGTACATCTAAATGATGATGGACAATTCAATTTCTTCTGTTCTATTCGCATGTGTACAAAACTGTACTTGTAAAGTGTAAATTTATGTGCAATCAATTATTTAATAAATAAATATAGATATATATATATACATACATCAATAAGTCTTTTTATTACTTTTTACGTAACCTACTACTCTTATTGTTATTATATATTGATATAAGGTTACAAAACGTCTCAGATACGAAACGACCTAGTTAAGTTACGAATCGACTAGTTACGAAACGACCAGGTTATGAAACAACCTGCACCCTCTAAATTATATCGGATCCTTTTTCCAATAAAAAATGTTCAATTAACATTATCAATTAGGCCTTTTAAAAGAATATCTAATGTCCCATGTCAGTGTTAGCAAGTACTTTGACTAGTAGTGGTACCCAAGGTGATTCATTTAAAGATATGCAGAACTGCAGTATTGGGCATGTTGGCATATAATATATTAGTCAACATCAAGGATTAATTGCATTATTATGTCCACTCTTGTCATCCTTAAATTCCCTTTAACCGCAATGTTTTTAATAGAATGAACCTCATCATGCTCATAGCATATTGTGTAAAGAATTTTGGAAAATGATGTCAAACTGCATTATCTGACAATTTATATCTGCCATTATGACGTTGTACCATTATTCTCTTAAGTAATAAAAAAAAAAGGAATCCCATACTATATGTTAAATCATTTTTCAAGTTTGTAAATATTATTTAGTTTGCTTTGGAAAAAAAATGAAAACAACACTTTATTTATTTCATGTGTACGTCGTGGACATGTACCAAGCTCTTTTCCCGATTTATTTTCATCAAGAATGATCAAAGCTGAATATTTGAAAGCCAAGAATATATGAGAAGCAAAACATTTTAATGACCAAAAGGAAAACTCTTTGTTATATATATATATACATAACATATTGTACAATGCATCTTTATTTTGTAATTTGGGGAAAATGCATGTTTTTTTCAGAAATACTGCTGAAAAGTCTATAATATATAATATACTAGAAAAAACCCGCACAAACGGGGGTTGAAGACTACTTGAAATGTTAATGGTGATACACAGCTTGGGTTCATGTTTCTCAAACTGTTTTTATGCACTGGTGCATTATGTTGATAGTTTTGATTAGTTTATCAGTTCTTCTTCCATAGGAGTTTGAATGTCCAATTAGTAGCTTCTGTCTCTGTGTTACACAAGTGCTCCTAGAACCGAGAAAATAACACAGAGAAGAAGAAGACAACCTAGAACACTGATGATTAAAACATTTCTCAGTGGTGCTAGTTTGTAGTATTTCTTTTTTTTCAAAAGGTGCCAGTCAAGTTCTGTCTCTGCGTGATACGGGTGCTCCTAGAACGGAAGAAAAAACTAAGAGGAGACAATCTAGAACTCTCTGATGATTTAAAACATTTCTTCAGTGGCGCGAGTTTGTAGTATTTTTTTTTTTTCGAGTGGTGCAAGTTCTGTCTCTGTGTGACTCAGGTGCTCCGAGAAAGGAGGAATTTACTAAGAGAAGAAGAAACGATCTAATGATTAGACACCTTTCTTCGAGTTATTTATATTTCTTTTTTTTTTCTGAATGGTGCGAGTTTGATAAAGTGGTGCAAGTTGTAATAATTAGTGAGAGTGTTTGAGTTGGGCGAGTTTGCTGTGGGCCGAGTTGTCATGAATTCAAGACAAATTGAATACAAAACCATTTCCGCTTGCTTACAAAACGTAGACGGTAAGGAACCAGCTACGGAACTTTATTTGGGGTTTAATTAATTAAGCTGCGCTATATAACATGTATAAAGCAATTACTATATCTGAAGTTATAAAGTACATTACATACAAAACTATTTATTATTATAATACTTCAGACGATCGTCGGCTCAGAGACAAAGTGGTTAAATCAAAGCATCGTTGATGTTGTGATCCAGCCATATTCATAGCTAGTCTCATATTCTTTGTGACCATACTTTTATTCATAGCTAGTCTGATATTCTTTCTGATCATACTTTTATTCATAGCTAGTCTGATATCCTTTCTGACCATACTTTTATTCATAGCTAGTTTGATATTCTTTCTGACCATACTTTTATTCATAGCTAGTCTGATATTCTTTCTGACCATACTTTTATTCATAGCTAGTCTGATATTCTTTCTGAACATCCTTTTTTCAAAAAAATTTTCTCTTTTCATTTCCAATCCTACTGTAAAATTTCTATGTTATTGTCCAAAGGTAGGGAATTTTGCAATATTGATGCAAATATAGATCTATATACTGATCTTTCAATTTTAGACTCTGTCAGATTTTATTTTTGACAAGAATGGAAAGGAAAATCGTCAAACAAGTAATATATTTTTTATATGCCATTAATAATGACAGGTTTAATAATTTCCAGAAAGAGGCCTTATAAATGCACTTTCTCAACAACAAAAATTTAAAAAAATGATAACGATTTTTTATCTAAATTGGTGTTCATTCTTTTTTCTTTCATTTTAAGTATTTTCTGAAAAAAAACCCACATCAGATTAATCATTCAGCCAGCTAGCAAAATTAACAGAATATTTTAATGTAGTGTAGATCAAAATAAATAATACATTTGTAGGTTTAAAATTACTATTGAGGTCAAGAATGTGTGTATTCACTTAGGTGTGTAATAAATTGTGTCTATTTTATTATGTAACAGGTCATGAGATATTAACTGTTTTGAATTAAGCCTGGGGTTGTTTCTAATTAATACTTATTTGAAAATCATGACAGTCAATAATCATTCTGACTCTTACTTGCCTATGGAAAGAATTGGAGTAATACCATTTTAAAAAAGTGTGGGAATCAACTAAGATATATTAATACACATGTTGACCTACATTTCATTGAACAATAATTTACACAAGCACAAGATACTAATATAATACTTTCAAAATTCTTATCAACTGATTCAATTGATGTACAAATACTTTTTCAAATTAATTCATAAATAGTAAATCATCATAAATTTTGATTTAGAAAGGAACTATATGCAAGTGTATATCCAAAATAAAGTCACTATTCGACCAATCAATTCTTAATTTAAGGGCAAATAACATGTCAAAAGTTTGCAGTTAAGTGATTAAAATGGTGTAGAAAGTTTCTTCAAGTCATAAAAACACATAATTAGTTTCATGATATGTCTTCACCTTAGTATTCTGCACCATCTCCAAAACCAGAGTGATAGCATAGATCCAGCATGGCTGAATCAAAAATTTTGGTCTCCAAATTTAATAGCTAGTATATAGATTCTTCGAGTTTATTATACATCGTATTTCTTTTTTCTTTTTTTGAGTGGTGCGAGTTTGATAAAGTGATGCAAGTTGTAATAATTAGTGAGAGTGTTTGAGTTGGGCGAGTTGGCCGTGGGCTGAGTTGTCATAAATTCAAGACAAACTGAACACAAAACCATTTCTGCCTGCTTACAAAACGTAGACCTTAAGGAACCAGCTATGGAACTTTATTTGGGGTTTAATTAATTAAGCTACGCTAATTAAAGCAATTACTATATGAAGTTATACATGTTATAAAGTACATTACATACACTAACTATATTTATTATTATATAATACTTCAGACGATTGTCCACTCAGAGACAAACCGGCTAAAAAATTTTGGTCTCCAAATTTAATAGTATAGATACTATATAAAGTCGTATAGTTTCAGAAAAGGTACAATGTACTTTCCTGAAAATATCAAACATTTTAATTATTAGCTACTAAGAGGCTGATCATTGACTTCTGGTAGAAAAATTATCAACTCCTAGTATTCCTCAGCTCTGTTTGGGGATACATTTGGTGTATGTTTAACATTTAGTAATCTTTAACTGATCGTTATAATTCATTGTAATTCATGTATTTCTTTTAACAAAAAATTAATATGGAATCGGGATGTGTTAGCATTTTGTATAAAATTTGTAAATTTCTGTAACATTGACTTGTAATTGTCATATTTTGGTCTTTATTGATAATTGCCTCAATGACAATCATGCGACATCTCCTTATTCATGTTATTTTGATGTTAATAAGAAAAAAATTCTGAATTAGAATGACATTACTGAAGGGTTGACAATATGGCTGATGAAATGTCCTTTTCTTGGATCAATTAAATGTACACATGAGTGATCAATCTTCAGTATGATTTTGTCGTGGATAAGTCTTGAACCTACAAATGTATATGTAGTTATCTTTAAATTTAGCATGGTCAGTAAATATATTTTTTTCGTATTACAGTAATAGAGAAAACAGAGGGCAATACCACTGTTGTAAGTATATTTAGAATTAGATTTTTAAAATGTATAAATTATAAATAAAATATATCATGTATATGATCAATCTGGTCTTAGAAATACATGTAAAAGAATGCACATGTAGCCCTGAAGCCTATAGCTATGATGTGGCTAATAGAAGATCCTGTTTGTTAGAAAAAGTTATCATTATTTGAAGTGTTATTTAAGCAACTACAGCAAGATCCAAGATTATTGTTTTTGCTAAAGTGTCACTGTGTGGTAAATGAAAATTCACTCTTCCACAACATGAATGCACGTGTACATGTAGAACATGTAGAATGGAGTAAAAATAACCAAAAATATGAAAAGTGCATTCATTAACTCTTCTTATTCAGTATTTGGCACAAAATTAGCTACATTTGTAAAGGAACAACTTGTTTAAAGATTTCTGTAAAACTTTATTTTAATCATATCATGTAGTTGTAGTATGCATACATACATATAAAAATAAGGAGATGTGGTATGATTGCCAATGAGACAACTATCCACTAAAGTTCAAATGAAGTGGATGTAAGCAATTATAGGCAACCGTACATCCTTCAACAATGAGAAAAACTCATACTGTATGGTTGGATATAAATGGCCCCAACATGAAAAATATGAAACAATTCAATTGAGAAAACTATTGGCCTAATTTATAACAAAACAATTTACTAAAAACAAATATGACAGACATGAACCAACGACAACCACTGAAATATAGGCTCCTGACTTGGGACAGGCACATAAAGACTGTGACAGGGTTAAACATGCTTTTGAACGCTCAACCCTCCCCCTAACCTGGGACAGTGGTGTAACAGTACAACATAAGAACAAACTATAATAAAATGCTTCGCTGGGGCGCAGCTTGATACGACCGCAGAGGTCGAACCCTGAACAGTTGGGGCAAGTATGGACACAACATTCAAGCTTGATACAGCTCTGAATTTGGATTGTTATTAAATATTTGACACAGCATAGGTTTCTGACACAGAAAGAATGTGGTCTAAGAACTTGAATTTTTTTAATTTACCTATTATGGTCCAATGTCCAAAATCAAAATACATGGTTAGATTCAGCATATCAAAGAACCCCATATATTCAATTTTTGTTGAAATCAAACAAAGTTTAAATACTGGACCCTATCTTGGACCAACTTGAAAACTGGGCCAATAATCAAAAATCTAAACATATGTTTAGATTCAACATATCAAAGAACCCCAAGAATTCAATTTTTGCTAAAATCAAACTAAGTTTAATTTTGGACCCTTTGGACCTTAATGTAGACCAATTTAAAAAATGGGACTTAAAATTAAAAATCCAAATACACGGTTAGATTTGGAATATCAAAGAACCCCAATAATTCAATTTTTGATGAATTCAAACAAAGTTTAATTTTGGACCCTTTTGACCTTAATATGAACCAATTTGATAACAGGGTTCACAAATAAAAAATCTAAATACATGGTTAGATTCAGCATATCAAAGAACCCCATATATTCAATTTTTGTTGAAATCAAAAAAAGTTTAATTTTGGACCCCAACTTGGACCAACTTGAAAACTGGGCCCATAATCAAAAATCTAAACACACGTTTAGATTCAGCATATCAAAGAACCCCAAGAATTCAATTTTTGTTAAAATCAAACTAAGTTTAATTTTGGACCCTTTGGACCTCAATGAAGACCAATTTAAAAAACAGGACCCAAATTAAAAATCTAAAAACACCGTTAGATTTGGCATATCAAAGAACCCCAATAATTCAATTTTTGATGAAATCAAACAAAGTTTCATTTTGGACCCTTTTGACCTAAATATGAACCAATTTGATAGCGGGGCCCACAAATAAAAAATCTAAATACATGGTTAGATTCAGCATATCAAAGAACCTCATATATTCAATTTTTGTTGAAATCAAACAAAGTTTAATTTTGGACCCCAATTTGGACCAACTTGAAAACTGGGCCCATAATCAAAAATCTAAATACATGTTTAGATTCAGCATATCAAAGAACCCCATATATTCAATTTTTGTTGAAATCAAACAAAGTTTAAATACTGGACCCTATCTTGGACCAACTTGAAAACTGGGCCCATAATCAAAAATCTAAACACATGTTTAGATTCAGCATATCAAAGAACCCCAAGAATTCAATTTTTGTTAAAATCAAACTTAGTTTAATTTTGGACCCTTTGGCCCTTAATGTAGACCAATTTAAAAAAACAGGACCCAAAATTAAAAATCTAAATACACGGTTAGATTTGGAATATCAAAGAACCCCAATAATTCAATTTTTGATGAAATCAAACAAAGTTTAATTTTGGACCATTTTGACCTCAATGTGGACAAAGTTGATAACGGGGCCCAAAAATCAAAAATCTAAATACATGGTTAGATTCAGCAAATCAAAGAACCCCATATATTCAATTTTTGTTGAAATCAAACAAAGTTTAATTTTGGACCCCAATTTGGACCAACTTGAAAACTGGGCCAAAAATCAAAAATCTAAATACATGTTCAGATTCAGCATATCAAAGAACCTCATATATTCAATTTTTGCTAAAATCAAACAAAGTTTAATTTTGGACCCTTTGGACCTTAATGTAGACCAATTTGAAAACTGGACCCAAAATTAAAAATCTAAATACACTGTTAGATTCGGCATAACAAATAAATAAATGTGATCAAAGATTTTACAAATCTAATGCGCCATACTGTGCAATTAAAGATTACTTCTTGAAATTTTTCAATATTTGAAATTTGAAAAAAAAATAATATTTGAAGAATAATTCTTTTTAATTTCTGAAATCTGAAATGAGAAAAAATTGACCTCCCACAATTTCTTTTTATCCCCCCCCCCCCCCCCTTTTTTCCCCCAAAAAATTCTTTCCCTCACGTTTGGTCATAATCTCAATTCAAATTTCCAATGGAGTTGGCAACCATAATTACCCATTTAAATTTACCATAGTGCTAACTTAATCTATTTTATAATAGAATTAAAAATATAGTGTCAAATCTTTCATATGGATTTTTTTGTAAAAAAAAAAAGATGCAACATTTGCAGATATTTTTACTGGTCTTCCTTTATGAATATGCATTTCTTTAAACATAATTTAAAAGCAGTGTAAGGGAAGTAACCAAAACGTTGTATTTGGATTACCTCCCTTACACTGTTTTAAACTATCTTTATTGTTCATTAACCATTACTTTATACATAATTTAAAAGCAGTGTAAGGGAGATAATTTCAATGATGTATTTGATTTATCTCCCTTACACTGCTTTAAATTATGTTTTGTACTAAAGTATTTGTCCATTAACCAGGACAACCTTGTTTTTCCCCCTTTTTTGCTCCTAATTCCTAAACGGTTTGAGCCATAACCCCCAAAAGCAAATCCTAACCATCCCTTTGTGGTATGGAAACTTGTAGTATAATTTCAGAGAGATCCATACACCGTTCCACAGTTATTGTCTGGAAACTAGAAAATGCTTATTTTTGGCCCCTAATTCCTTAACTGTTGGTACCATAACCCCCAAAATCAATCCCAACCTTCCTTTTGTGGTATTTAACCTTATGGTCAAATTTCAAAAAGATCCATTCACTTAAACTAAAGTTAGAGTGCGAAAACCAATGTGTCTTCGGAGGACGACGCCGGATGCCGACGACGACGCCAACATCATACCAATATACGTCCACAAAATTTTTTTGCGGTTGTATAAAAATCAGTTGAAAAAGGCTTAACTCATCAGATGGATACAAATAGAAATACATCTAACAAAAACACAGAGTGGACGTGGACAGGTACTTGTACATTCCCACAACAAAAAGACACTTAGTACAGATCTGAGAGTACTTGCAGTTACTGACAGTTAGTTCAAAGCCAATAACAACTAATAAAAAAATCATGTATCTTAGACTGAAGTATCAATCTGCACACATCCAACATCCAATGGATTTAGTGTAAAGACGTCATTAACAGTCAGAGAAAAACATAACCTTGTGCAATGCCAAACTATAGGTATCGACAGATTGTAGAACCGTGAAAGTACATATGTGTAATATTTAGTATGGTTTTAATTTACTGATAACAAAATCAATATTTATACCAATAAAAACAATATTCAAAGATTTGATTACAATGTTGAATAGTTAAAGGATTGATAAGTTTACCCGGAGCATATCTTAATTTCCGGACTCGGTTTACAACATCACCGTAAAATTTAGGATGTGCTATTCTGTTTGAAATAAGTTTTCTACAGGTACAGCCAAACTTGCAGACCAAGTCTTTGTATCTATGGAAGAATTTAGTAAAGGTTTTAAGTAACTTGTGGTAACGAAATCCCTGACTTAATAATTTACTAGTAATACATAGATTATGATCATTGAAATCCCAAATCGTCACTACAGACACGAGCATAGCGAACAAGTTGGGATATATAAACATAGTAAGATGGTGCCAAAGGAACATCACCGTCCAAAATGGGAAAACTAACAATAGGGAAAGAAAAATCATCCCTTGTGTCGTAAATTTTTGTGTAGAGTTTCTGATGTAATACTGAAATATCTTAATCTAAGAAAGGACAGTTATTGCTGTTAATAGTTGATTTATTTAAAGTAAATATAAAAAAGAAGATGTGGTATGATTGCCAATGAGACAACTCTCCACAAGAGACCAAATGACATAGAAATTAACAACAGGTCACCGTACAGCCTTCAACAAGGAGCAAAGCCCATACAGCACAGTCGGCTATAAAAGGCCCCGAAAGGACAATGTAAAACAATTCAAACGAGAAAACTAAAGGCCTAATTTATGTACGAAAAATGAACGAAAAACAATTATGTAACACATAAACAAACGACAACCACTGAATTACAGGCTCCTGACTTGGGACAGGCACATACATACAGAATGTGGCAGGGTAAGTTCCTTTGGGTAAATTTTTAACTGTGCATGAACATGTAGATGTGAACTCTCCCGATATCAAGCTGGAAGCTTTTCTATATTTTTCCAAAATTTGTAAATAGAATAGCCCCAGACATTGCCAGAAGATCTGTTTCCTTTTATGTATTTGACCCTGAATTCTGGTTGATGTTGTTGTCCTAATGTACATTTCTATCAATCGATACCTGTCTGAATTAATATTTTGAAATAAGGTTTTGATATTTGGGATGTGTGTACATCACTTTTAGCATTATAATTAGTTGTGAAGGCAAATTGTCAAATACCATTTGATGCGATCTTTGACCTCAAGGTCTACTTATTGATTCTTTAGTGACATGATTTGGTTTGGTTGGTAACTTTTATATTTTGACAACATTGGATAAAGGCATCTTGGTACATCACTTGAAGACAATGTGTTTCAAAGCAATGAACATGACCTTTTACCTAAACATGCTAAAGGTCAACTTTTTGATATTGTATGACATGGAACAATCCTTCTTTATTTGAAGTCCCATATTTTCTTTTGATTGACACAGTATATATAAGTGTATCTCACAGCGTTGAAGGGGAGACAATTCTAGTTTCTCACTTTTCCAGCATGACTACAAGTCTAGTTTTTGTGTCCTGTGACTTGTGTGCATGATAAAAAGTTGTTATTTAAGGTAGCACAATACAAAGATTTTTTTACTTCCAATCTCCAACCTTTAAAATGATGTTACTTTCTTATGACTGCAAACAAATTAATAAAAGAGGTATATATAGATAGATAAAAGATTAATCTTTTAAATGAATGCAATATTTTCGTTATGCAATCATTATGTAATCAATTATTATGCAATTAATGGCAAAATCTTGGTCAGTTCACTTGAATGAATTTAGCTCTGACATCTCTATAACTACACAAGAAATTTTAACGTTATCTTCATCAACACAGCAGGAGCTACAAAAGGGTGTCTCAAATTATTGCTATCGTATTCCATTTTCTCATAAATCTGTAATTAGTGTAAACATCCTTACCACATAAAAGTAGAGATTATTTGATTAGGTGTAAAATTTGATCTATACATTCTATCCAAAATCTGAGACACCCTTTTGTAGATAATGGCTCTAGGAACAACATATTATAAAATCAACCCTCTCGGGGTATCCATGAAGAAGCTAATTTCAATTGAAAGTGGAAAATTCTTGTAAAATTTTTTAGACACAGTTAAAATTATAATTAATTACATAATTGTTGTATTATACTAACATTGCATTAATTTGAAAGAGTAATCTGTTAGCTATCCATAAATACCACTTTTATAAATTTTCAAGCATTATAAAGAAAGTTACAGCATTTTAAAACTGGGGAGTTGGAGGTATAAAATCTTTGTATTGTGCTACCTTAAGTATTATCCACAGATTTTCTCTTTAGTTAATCATGCTAATTAATGTTAATTAATTCATTAACGATGATTAATGACTTGATTTATTTAAGTGTAAAATGTAAAAATAATTCACCTGCAGAATTCATGATTAATTAACACAGAAAACAAAACAAAAAAATTTCGTCACTAAATCTCTTATTTAAAAGATTTCACAAGGGGAGGTGTTCCATTTTGAAGCTTAATGATTATATATACCATGATATACTGTAAATTCAGAAATTATTGCGATGTTTTTATTATTGCGAAAAATGCGACTGGGTTATAATAGCAATAATTTAAACTCACATTTTGAAATTTTTTATATGAATTAAACAGGATTTTTCTCAATATCGCAAAAATTAGAATCGCATTTTAGTCTAAATTGAAAAAATCGCAATAATAAATGCACGCAATAATTTCTGAATTTACAGTACATGATATATAAATATTGTAATCAGCATGTATGATCTGAAATTAATCCATATTACATTGATCCATAATCTTAAAAATTGTAAACTTTTATTACAGATTGAAGGAAAGATAATTCCAGTAGATCAAAGCAAACTCCTGAAACCACAACTTGCAGAAGGAAATACAATAGCCTGTCCCTTGTGTAGATTAGAATTACATCCAAAACTCAAATATACAGTAAGTAATATAGTCTTAGAACATCCACAAACATTTTAACAAAAGGTGAGAATTATGTCTAATAAGTTACTCATTATAAGGTTGCTATTGCATAGTCAAGTAATAAGCAGTTGACACAAAGAAAAATTTTTCATGAAATTATGGGGCTTTCAAATAAAAAAGATAAAAAAAATTATGAATTTTTCTACCTCTAACTTGAACAATTTCAAATCAATTAATAAATGTACAACCTGATAGTGGAAGTAGGTTTCGCTCACTTTAATACAATTATAAATTATTTTTTGTTATCCTGTTATTAGGAGCACCTCTATAATTTTCAGTCAAATTAGAAGACGAATTTCAGCAGTGTAATTACTGGTTTTTGAAGTATAAAAGTACAAAGCAATTAAAATAAGGTTAAAAATTTGTACATATCTTTCATTCCAAATCTAGGAGTGAGGGCTATATTGCATTCTTCTTGTCTGTCCATTCGACCAACAAATATTTCAAGCACACTTTTCTCAACTATTACTGAACAAAATGACTTCATATTTGGCCAAGCCTGACAGTGATGAGTTGTAATGTGTTGGACATCTATTTCTTGTTTGCTGGTATTTTGAAGTTTTCGTTATGTTTCAGGAACTATAAACTTTGTTTGACCTTTTTTTACTTTTTTGATTCGAGCATAACTGATGAGTCTGTTTAAGACAAAGAACACGTCTGGTGTACAAAATTTCAATCCTGGTATCTATGATGAGTTTATATAAGTGACACATTTCTCCACTATTATTAAACAGAATGACTTCATGTTTGGACAGTAGGGGGTATGTTTGGACAGTAGGAGTATGCTTGGACAGTAAGGGTATGTTTGGACAGTAGGGGTATGTTTGGACAGTAGGGGTATGCTTGGACAGTAAGGGTATGCTTGGACAGAAGGGGTATGCTTGGACAGAAGGGGTATGCTTGGACAGTAAGGGTATGCTTGGACAGTAGGGGTATGCTTGGACAGTAAGGGTATGCTTGGTCAGTAGGGGTATGCTTGGACAGTAGGGGTATGCTTGGACAGTAAGGGTACACTTGGACAGAAGGGGTATGCTTGGACAAAAGGGGTATGCTTGGACAGTAGGTGTATGCTTAGACAGTAGGGGTTTGCTTGGACAGTAGGTTAATGCTTGGACAGTAGGTTAATGCTTGGACAGTAGGGGTATGGTTGGACAGTAGGTGTATGCTTGGACAGTAGGGGTATGCTTAGACAGTAGGGGTTTGCTTAGACAGTAGGGGTTTGCTTAGACTGTAGGGGTATGCTTGGACAGTAGGGGTATGCTTGGACAGTAAGGGTATACTTGATCAGTAGGGGTATGCTTGGACAGTAGGGGTATGCTTGGACAATGAGGGTACGCTTTGACAGAAGGGATATGTTTGGACAAAAGGGGTATGCTTGGACAGTAGGTGTATGCTTAGACAGTAGGGGTTTGCTTGGACAGTAGGGGTATGCTTGGACAGAAGGGGTATGCTTGGACAGTAGGGGTATGCTTGGACAGTAGGTTTATGCTTAGACAGTAAGGGTATGCTTGGTCAGTAGGGGTATGCTTGGACAGTAGGTGTATGCTTAGACAGTAAGGGTATACTTGGTCAGTAGGGGTATGCTTGGATAGTAGGGGTTTGCTTGGACAGTAAGGGTATGCTTGGACGGAAGGGGTGTGCTTGGACAGAAGGGGTATGCTTGGACAGTAGGTGTATGCTTAGACAGTAGGGGTTTGCTTGGACAGTAGGTGTATGCTTGGACAGTAGGTGTATGCTTGGACAGTAGGTGTATGCTTGGACAGTAGGGGTATACTTGGACAGTAGGTGTATGCTTAGACAGTAAGGGTATGCTTGGACAATATAGATTGCATTATAAAAATAAGGAGATCATTATCGCCCAAGCATAGCTATCTTCATGTTCTTGTTTACATCAAAAATTTATGCATAAGTACATTTATTTATATTAAAAAAAAACTACTGTTTTATATCACAAATAAATAAGAAAAACAAAACAAAATAAAATAAAAACACCTAAAAGAAAAATTAAAATGAAAACTAAAATCATTTGGAATGAATAATTTTTTTCTTTTGTTAAATAGGCTGTGATAAGGAGACAACCAGTTGATTTTCTTTGAGGGGCCAGAAGACAATACTCAGAATTACGAGTAAGGGTATGCTTGGACAGTAAGGGTATGTTTGGACAGTAGGGGTATGTTTGGACAGTAGGGGTATGCTTGGACAGTAGGGGTATGCTTGGACAGTAAGGGTATGTTTGGACAGTAGGGGTATGTTTGGACAGTAGGGGTATGCTTGGACAGTAAGGGTATGCTTGGACAGAAGGGGTATGCTTGGACAGAAGGGGTATGCTTGGACAGTAGGGATATGCCTGGACAGTAATGGTATGCTTGGTCAGTATATGCTTGGACAGTAGGGGTATGCTTGGACAGTAAGGGTACGCTTGGACAGAAGGGGTATGCTTGGACAAAAGGGGTATGCTTAGACAGTAGGGGTTTGCATGGACAGTAGGGTTATGCTTGGACAGTAGGGGTATACTTGGACAGTAGGTGTATGCTTGGACATTAGGGGTATGCTTTGGCAGTAGGTGTATGCTTAGACAGTAGGGGTTTGCTTAGACAGTAGAAGTATGCTTGGACAGTAGGGGTATGCTTGGACAGTAAGGGTATATTTGGTCAGTAGGGGTATGCTTGGACAGTAGGGGTATGCTTGGACAGAAGGGGTATGCTTGGACAGAAGGGGTATGCTTGGACAGTAGGTGTATGCTTAGACAATAGGGGTTTGCTTGGACAGTAGGGGTATGCTTGGACAGTAGGTGTATGCTTAGACAGTAGGGGTTTGCTTGGACAGTAGGTGTATGCTTGGACAGTAGGTGTATGCTTGGACAGTAGGTGTATGCTTGGACAGTAGGGGTATACTTGGACAGTAGGTGTATGCTTAGACAGTAAGGGTATGCTTGGACAATATAGATTGCATTATAAAAATAAGGAGATCATTATCGCCCAAGCATAGCTATCTTCATGTTCTTGTTTACATCAAAAATTTATGCATAAGTACATTTATTTATATTAAAAAAAAACTACTGTTTTATATCACAAATAAATAAGAAAAACAAAACAAAATAAAATAAAAACACCTAAAAGAAAAATTAAAATGAAAACTAAAATCATTTGGAATGAATAATTTTTTTCTTTTGTTAAATAGGCTGTGATAAGGAGACAACCAGTTGATTTTCTTTGAGGGGCCAGAAGACAATACTCAGAATTACGAGTAAGGGTATGCTTGGACAGTAAGGGTATGTTTGGACAGTAGGGGTATGTTTGGACAGTAGGGGTATGCTTGGACAGTAGGGGTATGCTTGGACAGTAAGGGTATGTTTGGACAGTAGGGGTATGTTTGGACAGTAGGGGTATGCTTGGACAGTAAGGGTATGCTTGGACAGAAGGGGTATGCTTGGACAGAAGGGGTATGCTTGGACAGTAGGGATATGCCTGGACAGTAATGGTATGCTTGGTCAGTATATGCTTGGACAGTAGGGGTATGCTTGGACAGTAAGGGTACGCTTGGACAGAAGGGGTATGCTTGGACAAAAGGGGTATGCTTAGACAGTAGGGGTTTGCATGGACAGTAGGGTTATGCTTGGACAGTAGGGGTATACTTGGACAGTAGGTGTATGCTTGGACATTAGGGGTATGCTTTGGCAGTAGGTGTATGCTTAGACAGTAGGGGTTTGCTTAGACAGTAGAAGTATGCTTGGACAGTAGGGGTATGCTTGGACAGTAAGGGTATATTTGGTCAGTAGGGGTATGCTTGGACAGTAGGGGTATGCTTGGACAGAAGGGGTATGCTTGGACAGAAGGGGTATGCTTGGACAGTAGGTGTATGCTTAGACAATAGGGGTTTGCTTGGACAGTAGGGGTATGCTTGGACAGTAGGTGTATGCTTGGACAGTAGGTGTATGCTTGGACAGTAGGGGTATGCTTGGACAGTAGGTGTATGCTTAGACAGTAAGGGTATGCTTGGATGATAAAGATTGCATTATAAAAATAAGGAGATCATTATCGCCCAAGCATAGCTATCTTCATGTTCTTGTTTACATCGAAAATTTATGCATAAGTACATTTATTTATATTAAAAAAAAAAATACTGTTTTATATCACAAATAAATAAGAAAAGCAAAACAAAATAGAAACACCTAAAAGAAAAATTAAAATGAAAACTAAAATCATTTGGAATGAATAATTTTTTTCTTTTGTTAAAAAGGCTGTGATAAGGAGACAACCAGTTGATTTTCTTTGAGGGGCCAGAAGAATTTTACTTGCCTAGTAAGAACTGATAAAATTATCTTGCCAAAGAAAGGATGAAAAAGAAATTTTCTGCCCCACAAAATGCTAGAAATAATTTTGTTACAAAGTGAAAATTAATTTTCTTATGTCAAAAATAAATAAGCAGGCCTAGCAACAGATAAAATTATCCTGGCCCGGGAAAATTATATTGTCATCCTGAAATTGTTGGAATTAACCACATTTGTAAAATTATAAATATAATTTTAATACTTGTCAAAATTCTTTCTTTACAATTTAGGATGTTTTAATACTAAGACAGTTCCTGACCCCAGAGGGAGAGCAGTTACCAAGAAAAATATCTGGACTATGTTATAAACAGCATAAAGAAGTCAAAAACTTAGTACGACAAGCTTATAGAGCAGGTATGAATATAAAATTGAGAATTGAAACAGGGAATGTGTCAAAGAGACGACAACCGGACCAAAGAGCAGAAAACAGCGAGAAAATCCAGCACCCAGAGTCAGGCTTTAGCTATCCCCTAAACAAAAATGTGTTCTAGTTCAAAGAAAATGGACGTCACACTAAAATGTTGATTAGAGTCAGAAGAAAAATAAAACCTTTTACTCTTTAAAATAGTTGCTCCGTTTTATCAACTATTACTTTTAAAAATTTAAGACATATATATCCGTTGCGTTTTCATTAATTTTTTATGGTACATGTGTGTTTGATTAATGTTTTCCTAACATCCAGTGATGTTTAATGCATTCATATTTTGGAAGATATCATGTTGATGAGATATGAATATACCCTGCTTAGTACTAGACCAACATACTAAGTGACATTTTTAATATGCTTGTTCACTTAGTACCTGCAACCGTCTGCAGGAAGTTGTATCACCCTAACCAGTCAAGGGTATAACTTAAATAAGTTATTCAGAGAAAATAACATCCATGTGTTATTACAGATGCTTTCATGAGTTGTCTACTCTTTATTCCTAAAATGTTTTTAATCTTTAGTAACATATGTTTGTTATTTGTTTAAACAAATCTTTAATATTTTACTCATTCAATTTAGACAGAATGGGGATAAGATAGATTTTAAGAAGGATTATTAAGAAAAGCTTTTCACATTTGTTTTATTTGTCTTCATGTTCACTTGTCTTATGAGTTGCTGGACCATTGATATTTTCTCAGATTTATACACTTTGTATTAAGAGTCTCAAACAAGTGCACTAATAAATTCAAATAGTATATCTTATTTTTATAAAAAAATCTTTAATGTATTGCATTTGTGATTAATTCTCTTTAAAATTCAGACCAGTATTTCATATTACCCAGTATTGCCCAGTATTACCCAGTAAAACCCAGTTAAACACTGGTTTTCCCAGTATTTCCCACTGGGCTGGGCAATACTCATACAACCCGTGTTTTTGCCAACCCTGATTACAACTAATTAAAATACATTGTGATTAAGTATGGAAGATGTCTGAGCAAAGGCTTTGAAGTAATATAGAGTAGCTGTAATAAACTAATAACACCCTTTAGTTATAACAGGAATATTTTTTTGTAATAACACAGATGTAATATGCATGATTGGCAAACTATATCTTTCTGAAGTTTAGTATGCATATGGGCACAGATTCATTTCAGGTAGGCGGTAATGGTAGCCTTTTCCTCAATTCCTCTGCTCATATTGTAAACTTGGATATTTATGATGGCTCGTTTCAAAGCTTTTTCACATATGTGGTTAACTTTTAGGGGTAGGAAGTGAAATTCATTTTTCTGTAAATAAGCACACCCCAAAAATCCTTTCGTGATGCAGCTCCTCGAGGTAAAAAAACCCTTTTTTACACACAATAAGTTCTTTGAAAATTGAGTTCTTTGAATGCATTTAATAACTCCATAGTTTTTACACATTAATTCTATGGTCCTCTGCTTTCTAAATTAGCACAAATGGTTAAGCTCAGTCACTTGTTAAAAATAGAAACATTTCCAATATCACTATACAAGAGATTTTTTGTTTACACAACTTTTGTGTTCCTCAATTTGAGGCTCATTGGGGATATTGACCCATATAGACAATAATATCAATAGAACTTGTATACATTTTAACAAAACAAAGGATGTATACTGCCCCTTTAACATTTAACATACATATGTTATCCCAGTTTTGGGATTTTTTAGTCAACAATAGCAAATGTATGTTATTTTTCTCTAATAACTTATTTAAGTTATATATACCCTGACTGCTAACTAGACACAAACAGACCTAATGTTTAGCATAGCAGGGGAAACCAATAGTAAAATATTTGGTCGGTCCTAGCTTGAGATCAAACCCTCGACGACCTACAATTTATTTTATGGTATGGACAGTATAGTCCATTGACTTCATTTGTCTGTAGACACAATGTATTTTAGACAAAATCTTTAGCCATTGTTGACAAATTCTTATATAACTATAATTTTATGAGATGGTAAAATTTTTACTTCAGGTTTCAGCCATAGATCATGCTGAAATAGAGCTGATATTTAAGATACTGATAGTCATAATCCAATGAGACAAAACCTGTGGTGCATTAGAAAATTCAAATGACAGACAAGACTATGCATAGGTTTGGGATGGGACATGAAAATAATTAACAAAATAAGTTATATTATCCCAAAATTCAATTATTTTAACCATGATACATGGTCCAATGTACATGTTGGTCCACATCATCTAATAGTTATACTTGTAAAACTAATAAAGTCAGTTTTAATATATATATCAAGATATACAACAATTTAAATGACTTCATAAATTTTTATAGAACAATAAATCCTTTCATTTATTTTATAGGTTTATTAACAGAATATCAGTTTCCAGAGGGTCATCCTAGGAGAAGTCAAAGATCAAATTGGAAGTGGAAGAAATACAATGTTTACTTTGAAGAGGAGGACAAATTTAGATTTTAATTAATAAATGAATAATACTTCATGTGTTTTCCACTTTAAATCAACCTGGGCAAACTTCTGTCATTATTTGACCTGTGAATCATCAAGCATGGTTTTCTTTATCAAAAATCTGTTCCTCTCAACCAGGAGTCCAAATGAAATCTTGCTTTATAATAGTCAAAATTATCCTGATCTTATTTGTGAATTAATGTGGATGGATAATTTCATTATGATTTCAGAGGAGTGTAAGTATGATAACTGAAGCAGATTGATAGGCAATAAATCACACTTCCATGATACCTGATTTCTCAATTTAAAATGTTGGAAGTCATTGTTTTATCAATCTTCAGCTATTGAGTTGTACTTAGTAATGTTCAATTGGCTGGGTGTCTTTTCCCATTTTTTGTCTGGCCTGCGACAAAAGCAGCGGAATTTTCATACTGGAAAGCGAGACAAACATGACAAAGGTGTTACTATTCCAGTGGTGACGTAGGATGCCTCAACAATTGTCAAGTTTTCTGCTCGAGTCAATTTGATAGGAACTACTTGTGATAGATCAATGCTACTTTGTATAAAGTTGCATTACTATCAGAACACATCAGTTTGACGACTATGTTGATGCCTTGCTCCCTAGGTCATGGTCCAGTGACTTTATATCAATTAGCAACTTCCAATGTTAAGTTTTCTGCTAAAGTCAGTTTTATAGGAACTACTTGTGATATATCAATGATATTTTGTATAAAGTTGCATTACTTTCAGTATATATCAGTTTGACGACTAATTAAATGACCCTGCCCCTTAGGTAATGGCCACAATCTAGTGACTTAGAATTAATTAGCAATGTTGCTGTCCATCAGATTGTCTTTTTCCTTGGTTAAAAGTTTTTTATTTATCCTTGGTATCTATACACTTCATTTGTATAAAAAGTAGTTGAATTTTGCATCATTAATTTCCATAGCTAATCAAAGAACCCTTACTCTGCCAAGACCTCATGATGGATCTGAGAACAAAATTTTTTTTATGACTAGTCAGGACTTGGTATTATTAAGAAATTGTCATATGTAAAGGTTGTTGTCTTTCCTTTGGTTTTTATGCAGATCTGTAGATTTTTACGAAGGTAATATTTTGTTGTTAGGATACTGTCTCGTAATTAACTCCAAATTTGTTTTTCAATTCTAAATATTCACCAAATGCTAAAAAATTCAGATCAAAGGAGACTATCTTGGATAGAAAATCGTATTAAGTTTAAGTGGGAATAAAGTAATAAGATTTTTCCAATTGTTTTTGCTGGTGCAGCCACCTGAAAAGTATTGCCTAGATCTCATGTTTGTAGTTGATATGGCCTAAAGCAAGGCTTCAGGCTCAGCTTATTAATTTTTATTCAAAAGAATTTTTTGAACATTAATTTTTTGTCAACAAACATTTTAAGAACATAATAATCTATAGTCAATCTAAATTGTTAGTCAAGACAAATAAATCAATGTTACAATGCCTTTATTTCTTGAAACAAACTCAATTTGTAGAATCATTGCTCAACTTTATTTTCTTTATAACAAATGGGTCTTTAGTAGGGTACCCCTTTTGGCCAAAAGGTCACATTTAAAAATTGCCTCCAAACAATTTCAAGCAAATTTGAAAGCAACAGCAATCCACATAAAAAAAATCCAAACATTTTTAATGCTTACATGACTTTTTAACTGAAACATAAGGTAGCAATGCAGGCTGCCAACCGCCATCCCCACCCCTGATAGAGATATTATTTTCATCACACAATAATCAAAAATAGACCCCTTACACAAATTTTCCCCTCTACAGTATAAAGTTTCATAGAGCACTTCAGTCCCTATGAAAAACAAATGCCAACTAATCATAAAAGTGTCTTAAGGATTCTTGAAAGTTGATACTTAAATTATAAAAGGGGGATAATGTCCTGCTCCCATCATATATAAATTATATTCTTATATAAATGGAATAAATCCTAATAAATAAAATGTCACCTTCTTTTTTTTAGAATAATTTAAAAGAATAATATTTTGATGTTTCAGCTCTCTGCTCCACACTCCATGGTAACCAAAGTCCTAGATCTGCAAAACTTTTTATCTTAAAGGGGCATTAGCTGTCAAATTCATGTTCACCGATTTGACTCAAATTCTCATATTTGATTTATAACCATGTAAAACATTTGTCCAAATCAGTCAATCAAATGATTTACCTTTGTTTCACTTTCAATGTTGACATTCTTTTCCTTTAAATAACCGAACACGCACACTGCATGCGTTATCCATCTCTAGGTATGGGGTTAAATTGAAGTTCACATGAATACGGATTCCATGAGGTAGAATTATTCACTTGCAAGTGAATAATTCATCATCAATGTTTCTTAGCTTAATTTGACAAAATTAAACCATACTGGCTGCTAAAAGCGAATTATTATTTCACTATTTCATTTTCATTAATGATTGAACAAAAAAAATCATACTTTAGATTTTTTATAAACCTCGTAGCTAGTGCCCCTTTAATACACAAAATTAAAATACAATAGAAATAAGAAGATGTGGTATGACTGCCAGTGAGACAACTCTCCATCCAAGTCACAATGAATAACAATATACGAAGTAGATTTTTTGCGGTCGTTTAAAAAGTTAACAATTATACCGGTAGGTCAAAGTATGGCCTACAACACTGAGCCTTAATATTGGCTCACACCAAACAGCATGCTATAAATGGCCCCAAAATGACTAGTGTAAAACAATTCAAACAGGAAAACCAGTTACTGTTGTAATTGACATATACCCCAAATTTATTAGCATTTTTATCTGATAGATTTAAACCTACTCTTAACTCTAAAAAAAAATAAATAATAGAAAACCAAAATGTACATTTTTTTTTTTAAATAAACAGACCCTAGCTTGACGAAAGTACATTTTATTTTGAACAGTCTAATCATTCCCAATGCTCTTTGTCATGAGCTCTCATAATTTTCTGTTTTCATATCATTAAGTCCTAATTCTTCATTCTGTTCAAAGGTTCTGTCGTACATTTCTATTTCCATTTCTGGATCATCATCTGGTGCATAAACATTCTGAAAAAAAAATCACAAAATAAAACATAATTTGAATTTTGCAAAAAAAAAACAATTATCAGACATCTTCATCCAAAGAATAAATAAGGATATCAAAACATGAACATGTACTTGCAACAATTGGTGACATGGTATCATGTACGTACCAGAAGAGATATTTCTATTTAAGGTCACAAAGGTTGTATTAATAACATGAAATTTCCCCAAATAAAATGATAGAAATTAGAAATACGAGGAAGGCAAATCTCTCATTGTTAATAATTGAATATATAATTTTCAAAATTAGTTACTTGATAAATTCCAGTGTTAGGGAGCTTGAAACAGTTTGATTTTTTTTAAATGTTAAAGTTTACAATACAAACAATCTGGCTACTGGCTGGCTACAGACAAAAGAGGATTATGTTTGGGGAATTCCAAACTCCTTGCATGTTTAATACTTCTTTTTTATTTAGATGTAAAAGGAAAAGAAAGTAGAAACATTATTGTTGGCCCTTTTATATAATACAACACACTACTTTTCTGAAGAGAGTGTTACAACATGTAACTCTCCACACTTGAAGCAATAGTGAATACAATACCTTACTTTCTCTGATGGGAGCATAACAACACCTAGCTCTCACCGATTGGATGTTACAACACCTTATTCTCCCCATGGGACCATTACAACACCTCAAAAATGAAAACAATTAAGGGTAACAAAAAAACTAATATATCAAACCAATTGTATTACTGAATTATCTCCCTTGATTTTGTTCAGTTTTCTTATTTCAACTACAAAGATTTAAAATACAACTAATTATACGTAGTATGAAAAAATATATTGAAGTACAGTTGTTGACTCCAATTCAATTCATTTTATTGAAATAAATTCAAAAAAAGAAAAAAATTTGCCATAGATTCATGTCATATATACCTTACACTCCGTATTCATCAAATTATTATAAAAAGTTTAAAACTCATAATTTATTTCAATAGTTCTCTAAAATTAGAAATTTCTAGAACATGGAACTACTTGTAAGTAGTTAATTGTAACTAATACATTAAGCTTCTTCATTGTCAAAAGTATCTACTAAAATTCCAAATGGGAGCCATTTAAGGGATAATGCGAGGCTCAAAACCGCTAAATTTATCCACATAGCGGCATTACGATCCTTACATGCCAGTTGTATTGTATCTACTACCTACTGAGCATCATTTAATGTACTTTTAAGCCTTTAGTCAACTTAGAACTATTGTCTGATCGGTTGTCAGGGAGAAATTTTAAAAGTTCAAAAACATTTAAAAAAATTCTTATTATATATTTAGTGGAAGGGCAGACTTAAAATTTTCAGAGGTTGAAGACTGTTAAACCTAGATATCACACATAATAAAACAAGGTTGGGCAGTAAATACCGCCCCTGGTATTTATCGTCGGTATTTACCGGTATATACCGCCATGAACAATACTCCTCAAGTGGTCAATACTGGCAAATACTGGTCGACTGAAATTTTCACGGTGATTTTTACTATTTATTGAAGTAAAAACTTGATAAAAAGTAAGATATATTTAAATTTATATCTTTTAGCATGTTTCAGCTGATATAAATGAATGAATTTGATATGTTTTATTCATTTTAAACACTTATACCTACTAATTTAGTCCTTAAAAGTTATGATATTGCATACTTTAGATATATAAAATGTTGACATAGTAATTGTTTCAACATTTATATATCAAGTTATTTTTATTGAAAAATGCATAATTTTTACAGGTAAATAAAACTACAGGTAAATGAAGTTACAGGTGTCTTATCACCTATCACCTGGCATTGATACGTCTGATAGGTGTGAAAATTCAATTACTAAAACAACAGCCCCCAATAAATGTTGACTAAACCGGCTGAGGACATTTAAGCGCATTGATAGGACATTTTAGCGCCAAAGTATAACCCATTTTAGCGCAAAATTTTTAACCCATTTTTGCGAAAATTAAAAATTATCAATGCCCATTTTAGCGCAATATCTTTTACCCATTTTATGATAAATAATAGGAATGAAACACTTATCTTTTGTTCTAATAAATCATTGTAAATCACTGTTTATTAAGAATTTATAATAAGAATAGAAATGAGAACATTTAAAATGACGTTCATTATTTCATAACTAACAGTTATTAACTTTCACACACAGATGCAGGATTCATGTAGTTAAGACCGTTTTGTGATATAATAAGCATTGTGTATAAGTTTCATACCATTTGGTTGAGGCAAACTAAAGTTATAGAGAACAGAAACAACAGATTTAGCAATTTTTCCATTTATAAAGGGGCATAACTCAAGAACGGTAACAGTAATGCCACCCAATTTCTAACTTGATATGTGTTTTGTGGTAATTAGCATTGTGTATAAGTTTCATAACATTTGATTGAGGCAAACTAAAGTTAGAGAAAGGAAATGAAAAATTCAGCAATTTTTATGTTTATAAAGGGGCATAACTCATGAACAGTAAAAGAGATGCCACCCAATTTCGAACTTGATCTGTGTTTTGTGGTAATAGGCATTGTGTTTACGTTTTATAACATTTGGATGAGCAAACTAAAGTTAGAGAACGGAAACCAATTTTACGATGGACGGGACAGGACAGGACAGAAAAGGGTAACACTTAATGACCCCTTAGCCTAGCAGCAGGGCATTAAAAATAACAGAATCTGAAACAAGATGATGTATCCAATATTTTTGCCTTATACGTTTTCAAAACAAGATAGTCAAATCAAACACACCTGAACATAAAAAAGTGTACTCAACTTTCTTTTTTCGATGATTATTATTAGGATTTTTTCCCAAAAAACTGTCGCCCTGGGCAGAGATGCAAATTAATGCTTTAAAAAGATCAATGTTTTATATTTTTGTTGACTTTTTTTCAGCGGAATTTATTCTTATTCACAAAAAAGATCCATGTATTTTCACCTACTACAATCGACTGTTTAATGAAAATTTGTATTTAATTTAAAAGTTTTACAAATATCTCGAAGCTCCATACTATAATTTAGGTAAAAACCGGTATATAAGATGCATAAAATCCTAAATTATGCACCCTCATTAAACTTTTAAAGCTCAAAGAAACAGATGTAAACAATTCAAATATACCAACTTGGCCTTTTTTACCTTCTCTAACAAAGAGTTCCATTTCTTTTGTTTAATTTCAACAGGGTATCCGCCTGTACTTAAAGTCATATAAAACTTCAAATTTAAAAAAAAAAAGTTTAATATGTTTTATATACTTGAATGGCTAAGTTTACTATAAAACAAGTGTATGTGAACTTTCTTTTAAAAGAAAATCCTTTATTATCAGAATCTTCATAAATGTACTGCTATTGAATTATTGTCTTTCCGTACACTAATTCATCAATTTTTTCCAGTATGCCCTGACCTTAACTACGAGACCTCTCGTAAGAACTTCGGCCACAGCACAGCGCAAGTGTGAGGGGAAAAAGTGTAATGAAATATGTTAATTCAAATAGAAATAGAAAACAAGTTCTAGCAAATCTGAATTATCTCCCTTGAAAATGTCCAGTTTTCTCATTCCAATAAATAAGAAATGAAATGTAATGTTTTATATACAGCATCATTTTTAAAGATTAAATAAAATAGTTCTTAACTTTTATCAAATTGTTTTATCAGAAAGAAAAAAAATAAATCCTAATTTGTCATCAATTATAAATATTTATACCTTTAACCATTATTTATCAAATTATCGAATATAATTTTTTGAATCATACAACCTTTAGATTTTTCTCAGAAACTACTTATTTGTGACCCACAAAACTACTAGTAGTAGTTGTCTACATCATATCTGTTCAATAATAAAATAAGAGAGTCAATCTTGCAACTAAAGAGAGTAAACTTCTCATTCAGACCCCTGCATTAGTATGTACTATGTACACCAATGACCCGAACTTTACATATACAGTAAAACCTTGGGGGTGGGGGGTGGCGGGCACTTCAATACTTAATTGATAGGGGGTGCCGCTGGGGTTCTGTTACCCCATCCTTTTCATATAATTTGGATCTTTAAAATGTATACCTTTTCATATATAGCGTAGGTAAAAATGTAACCTTTTCCCATATTGGTTGCTCGGAGATCAGATCTGAGGCTCAGATTCCTTATGAAATGTTTACTTACGCCGATACTTTCAGCTGTGAACAAATTACAGGGCTTTTAATATAACAAGTAATGGGAACTTTATAGACCTTAACACATATTTCTGATAGTTTTCCCCACCTATTCACATATTTTCAAGCTGGAAAATGTGACCTATCACATCGTAAATAGACAAGAATGTTAAGGGAAATCTTCAAATGTGTAGCATATTTTTTATATGCCATTAATAATACAATATTATTGGCTTAATAATTTCCAGAAAGGGGCATTAAAAATGCACTTTCTCAACAACAACAATAATAAATAACTAACTTTTATCTAAATTGGTGTCCCTTCTGCATTAAGAAAAAAATACAATTCTTGTATTCAAATATATATTTACAAATACCTAATGCTGAAATAATTCCAATTACTGTTAAATAGCAAAATAATTGGGAATATACAAATAAATTTATTGCAGAAAATGCTCAGGAAAGAATACGCAATTGTGTTTATTGTTTCAAACAAATAACTGATAATTGTAACTAAATAGACCTTAATGAGGGGCTTAAAGGGGGGGGGGGGTATCTGCATGGAAGAACGCGAAATAAAATTGCCATTTCACGATGAACGAACAATCAAAAATTTCTTGCACGTTGATCTTTTTACTGATTTCACGAAACATGTTGAATAACGAACCTTTTTCACGGCTGCACGTGAAATAAAAATGGCAAAACGCGTTGCACGAAAATAACCCTTTACCACCCTCCTTAATTATTAATTATTATTAATTCTGCAGAGAGAATCCTTCAACATCAATGAAATTGTTTTGTCAAATTTGTTTCATGGATAAATATTATTATCCTTACATTGTATATTTC